TTCAAGTCCGTCTGTTCTGGCTGATGTAAGCTTTAATGTTCCCTCACGCGTATCAAGACACCTTTGTCCCATATTTCTGGAAGCTTGTAAAACCAATTTTGAATTGCACGACCCACTCCGTTGCTTATGCCAGGATTTTAACTCTCATTCCAGCACGTTTGATATATCAGATCCGCTTTTCAGCATTAAGAAAGCGAGACTCTCCTCTCTCAATAAGTGAATTATTGACATAAATACATAAAATCAGCTGATGAATTTAGTTCTGTAGCTGAACAGTTTTAGATCTCGACACTTAACAAACTCCTGCCTATCGTGACTCGGCACAAAAAATTTAAATTATTGGTTCCGTACGTCATGCGGACTGCGCCCCTCGTGCGGATGGGCGGGAATGGAGGGTAAAAACCGTTGGGATATTATATAAAAAAAAAATTAAACGTGAAAACCATCCATCGGGCCCACATCTGCAAAAAAATGATTAAAGGTCAAAGGTCGCATACATATGTATATGCATGTATGAGCCTTTTGAATTTTCAGCCATAAAGGTAAGTTTTCAGATATAGAGAATCAAAATTTTAGTAAAAGTTTGAACTACATATCTACATACAAATAAATGTACATATTAATGAATTCATAAATTTGTATGAAAATTTTTTGTACGTACATATTTTATTTAAGTGCTCATAACGTCTAAGAAGCCGGAAATTAACAAGTTCTTTAATTTTTAATGATATTTGCACCAAAAAAAATTTATTTATTTTAAGTCAATGAACACCTCCTAAACTACTCATCCGATTGGAAAATTTGGTTAACATGATAGCAAATTGAATTGGCTTTATTATTGTGAAAGAGATCTGAAATTTTCAAATCATCTGAAAATTCAAATACTAAGCTGATGAATGAATACCCAAAGGCAATAATCACACAGATTGCATTCGCGCTTTCTCAAAAATTTGCAAATGATTATGTTGCTTTAAATACATATGTACACACTTGCATGCATTGCAAATAATATTTTTAACTAAATATGTACATATAAACATAGCCACGAAAATTCCTTAATAGATATGTATTTATGTATAGTACATTATCTACATATATTATCTATACATACAGTTGTCCACAAAATAATAGGAGTGCGATATTTTGACCA